AATCCACAGAGTTCATGATCATTTGTAAGCTGCCAATAGAAAGGCGTTCCTCCTCAGATGACGACGTTTATGAAAGGAAAATTGAACAAGTAACACAGTGACAAAAGAAGATGTAAGTTGGAAGGGCCAATGGGAGACCTCAGAATGTGACAACAAAAACATATTCCTTTGTGGAAAGCTCAAACTCGGTATGCAGAACTTAAAGCGTGCAGGTGTGAGGGACAACATATCACACCTAAATTCTGCTGAGAGTTCACAGTACGTGAGTACAGCATTTGGTTTGAGATAAAGAAGTGGGTAACTATGTTAAATAAAGAAGTGGGTTGCTGGGTGGTGGTGGCACACGCCTTTAATCCCAGCACTCAGGAGGCAGAGGCAGGCGGATCTCTGTGAGTTCGAGGCCGGGCTGGACCGACAGCCTCCAAAACAATTCAGAGAAACCCTGTCTCGTAAAAACAAAAAACAAACAAACAAACAAAAGAAGTGGGTAACTGTGTTAACTGTGAATTAAGGAGCAGCTGATATAAGTAATAGGAAAAACCAAACTAATAATCACATAATGGTCTGGCCATTTGTTCTCTAAATAAAAGCATTTGACAAACATCTTCATCATTTGTCATAACAAATAACTGTAACACATCTATGAGGGCTTTTTTACTTGTAGAGTAGCCTCACAAGCTGCAGGCTTCTGCTGGCTTGGAATCTTAGTGTTAATGTGCACATTTTGCAGATCTGTGCAAGCAGGAGTATTTCCATGCACTGATAAGATTGTAGAGATATTGAGAGAGGTAGATAATAAAGCTATATCTCTAGAGTATAAAATGGAAATAAACGGGTAGCCTTTGCTTCCCTGGGAGGTGTCCCAAATGTTAATGTAAGAGACTGACTGAGAATGGAGGCCAAACCCTCAAAGGTGACACAAGCCACCTGGAGGGCAAACGGCTCCACTCTGATCAGAACTGGTTGTAGAGACACACTGAAGGACAAGTTAGATCCCCACTGTTGGAAGATGAGCAAAATTCCAAATGTTGATGTTGGCAGTGAGGTCTCTAAAACGCTTGCTGGTGCCTGCCTTCTTGTGTAGTCAGTTACGAAGGAGCCTCCATGTGACATGCAAATAAAGACCTCTGGCAGCCATCCAAGCCCAGGTGCAAGCTCAGCTCTGCTTCAAGTAGCAGAGAAAATAAGACGAGAGAAGGAGCAGAAAAGTAGAAAACATGGAATTAGCCGGGGAAGTAAAAAGAAGAGGGAAGGATGGAGGATGAATAGAAAGGACGGAAGGAGAAACTGCAAGGAGGAAGCCAGTCATCCCTTACCTTACCAATATCAGAACACTGTGTGCTCACTGAACAAGAGCGCTGACATGCCGCTGTGGTCCTACCCCACCCCGTTCATGCTCATATATGCTGCCTTTAGAAGCAGAAACATACCAAGCAGTCAAGCAGTGTTTCCTCTCCCTTCCCAGAATGTAGACACAGGATGTGTGGATTTCAGCTACTCTCCCCACTGTTATATCTTTACCATTTAAACCCATGATTAGCACGTGAGGTTGACCAAGTAACTTAATGAATAATAAATGAATAACCATCTTTTAAACAAGAGATTGAGGCAAAAGTAGGCCTAGTACTTACCCAGGTTACCTGGTAAGTTACTAAATATTCCCATACACTGAGAGAAACAATCAAATCAGATCATCATTTGCACTTAAATTTGAACCTTGTTCTTGGCTTGGCCCAAGTGTTGTAGTTTTAAAAAGCACACACAAGAGAAAGACCCATTTGACAGAGCCTGGCTGGAAGGTTTCTGTTTATTTTTTAAATGGGGGAAAGTGAATGGGAAAGGAGGATGGGAGAAGGGAGACCGGCCTCTGGAGACAGGAGTGGAAGAAGAGAGGAGAGAGGCAGAGAGAGACAGAGAAAGATAGGAGGCGGGCCGGGCCCTGTTAAAAAAAGAATGTAATGAATAAGCACAGGAGGTGCTCTTAGTGACTTCAGCTAAGATGCCCTGTCAGAACCCCAAGAGCAGGCCAGTACAGATAGATGCCTGAAGACTAACACCAAGTACACACACACACACACACACACATACACACACACACACACACACACAATGTGTGTTAAGATATATTTTATTTTTTATTTATGCGTCTACAGATGTTTGTGCAGTAGAGAAAAATACGTAAAATACTCTGGATATGGAGTTATAGGCAACTGTGAAGCACCCACTGTGGGTGCTGGGAATTGAACTCGGGTCCTCTATAAGAGCAGCAAATGCTCTTACTGACTGTACCATCTCTCCCACCACCTTTATGTATGTTTGTATGTTTGGGGTTTCTTGTCTTTGTCTCTGGGTCACTATTCTTATGTTGTCTTATCCTCTCCTGTCAGCAGTGGCCTTAACCTGCTGTTGCCTGATTGCTACGCATGCTTGTATATAATAGATTGGATATAGGAAGTTAATCTAATCAGCAGGTAGAAATAATAATTAGTTTAATTATATTGTTATAATTATGGATAGAAATTGATTGCAGATGCGACTTTTAAGTATTTGTACAATGAGGGAAATTTTAAAACTAGGTAAAGTATTGGATTGATGGTCTCAGAAACAAGAGTCCATCCAGTGTTGAGGAGTGTGCCCTCACAAAGTGTGAGGATGCTGATGTACTGTAATGGAACTATATTTCTATTTCCCTTTTGCCTAACATTTTTTAATATAAAGCAAATTAAGTTATGAGGAAATTAAAGGATCATTTCTACATTATAGTTGTTGTTACTGGGGATATTAATTGAAGCCTTGGGTAGTGATCAGTACTTGTTCCTGGCATACAAATGGACTTTGGGTGCCCATCCCACAATGAGGGATGCTCTCTCAGCCTGGACACATGGGGGAGGGCCTAGGCCCTGTCCTTGATGAAATGACAGACTCTAGAGATCCCCCATGGAGGGCCTGACCCTCCCTGGGGAGCTGAGTGGGATTTGGGTGGGGGGCTGGAAGGGTTGTTGGTGTGGGGGGGAGGAGGGGAAAGAGAGGGAGCTGGGATTGACATGAGAAGCAAGCTTGTTTCTAATTTAAATAAAAAAGATTTTTAAAAATTTAAAAAAATTAAATGAAGCCTAGATCTTCTGAATGATGAGGCAGTTCAGGTTGAATGAGGCCAAATGAGCAGGGTTCTCTCATGCTCTCAACATGACTTTCACAGTCTGAAGTCAGACACTTTCACGATTAACTCTGAACCACACTTCCGACTCAGATCACTAAGTCAGAATCACAGGGCAGAAACGTTACTAAGCCAGTGTGAAACAAACAAATAAATAAAAATGCACCATTGTTCTCTCTGTGTGCCCTCTTTCTGGGTCCCTATGCTTGGGCCTTTTTTGTTTGGCGTTTCCTCAAGTAAATTTATGTTATCATGTATCTTTATGCCTTAACTTGTCTATGATGACTCATATTTAAGAAAAAAACAAAAACCCAGCACAACAGGAATAATCTGTAAAATTGCCCTTAACTTCCAACACATCGCATCGCATCGCATCAGAGAAGCTTGTGTGGTCCTCAAGCATAACTTCAGTTGTCACACAACTCTCTAACCAGTAATTCCGTTTCACTAGAGATTCAGATTACATGCATGAAAGAATCCAAATCATTAAGGGTAAAATTGAAATCTATCTTTCAACAAAATTCATGTGTATATATTTATAACATACAGCACGTTTAGCACAAGGCATTATGAAAAGAAAACACAAGGCCTCTACATAAAGAGTACCAGAATATAAGAACAAATGTCCCCCATGGAATCTTAATGCATCTCTTGGTGTAGGCCAATGAAAATGCTGCCTAAGAGGCTGATAGATGCTTTCTTTTAGGGCTGGAGGGATGGCTAGTAGATAGGAGTGTGAGTTCCTCTTTCCGAAGACCAGAGTTCAGTTCCCAGTACCCATGTTAGATGATTTATGCCCACCTGTGACCCCAGTTCCAGGGGTCTAATTCACACTTCTGGTCCCCACAGGCACCTGTACTTGTACAGGAGACAATGATTATAAATGAGTTTGGAGGTTTCTTTCCTGCTTTCAACATTTGTGGTCCCAAAGTAGATGGAGATTCTTCTGCTTTGGGGCAGTGTGTGAGACAGTCAGTGTGCCCATCCTGTCTGGTTCTTGAGTACAGGAGAGTTCTGAGTCATTGGAAGGGTGTGTCCCAGGCTCACTTGCAGACACTTGAAAAGAAGCTGTGGGTAGAGGTAGCCACAAGTAAAGGCAGAGCACCAGCCTCTCCTGCCCAGGACTCAGGAGGAACATACCTCACCAGCAAGCAAAGCCAAAACCACACTGGGAAACAGCTTGCCTCTCAGATTCCTATTTCCCAATGTCTTCTTTGAGTGAAGGGTAGGAAGAATGTCATTCCGTACATGTTGCCAAAATACTGCCCCATATATTCTCTATTAGTAAATTGCTATACGGGGCTGGAGTTGTGGCTCAGCCATTAAGAGCAGTTACTGGTCCCCAATTTCAAGTCCTTTACCAGCATGTGATCGCTGCAGCCCAACCACATTATGAATTTTTCCACATGGCCCTCATCTGGAAAGTTGTGCCTCAAAAACTGCATCCTGGCCGGGCGCTGGTGACACATGCTTTTAATTCCAGCACTCAAGAGGCAGAGGCATGCGGATTTCTGTGAGTTCGAGGCCAGCCTGGTCAACAGAGAGAGTGCCAGAATAGGCTCCAAAGCAATACAGAGAAACCCTGTCTTGAAAAACAAAAACAAACAAACAAAAAACAAAAACAGTATCCTGGACCCAGTAGGTACTGATGATGCCAACAACTTGACAACAACCTGTTTTCTAGAATATTCCCTACGATACAGCAAAGGTGCTGTGGAGTGTTTTGATTTTCTCGCTGGCCTGAAATTCAATGTTTCAGGTTGCAGTATTATCTATCACCTTCGATTCTTTACTCTCTACCCACAGCAAAGACAGGAAACCAGTTTAGCCTCACTTTATCACATTCCTTATCAAGAAGCTTTATTTTACACACTCAATGCATGCTTATTTTTATCTGGCAAGTTTCAAAAGCAATTTAATTGTCAAATCAAAGTAGTTTAAACACTGAAAAATAAAATTCAATTGCTCTTTAGACAGTTAACTGCATCCCTATAAATGTGAGAAAAATAGTCTGTACATTTACATAAAAACCGGGTGGGGGGAGAATGAAAGCATTAAAAAAAGCAAACTTTTTCTTAACACTAAAGTAGCACAATTTTCACCTTATACATGTGAGAAAAGAATAACATTATATGATGCTGTGAACAAAAAAAAATGACAATTTCAAAAGTCTACAAGAAAATGACTCTCAGGGTGAAATGAAAACATGAGAAATGTGAAATCAAATGAGAATCTTAGACCTTAGCATGGCTAGAAAAGAGTTTAAGGGTTATCTGGAGGAGGCTCTCTGTTTGGCCCAGAAGTCCTGGCCAATCCAAAGAGTCACCACGCATAACCCAGGCTGGCCTCAAGCTTCTCACATAGCTACGGAGAACCGTGAACTTCCTTGATCCCTGCTGCACCTCAGAACCTACTCTCCTGATTTCGTATCCCACATAAGAAGAGGTCTTAAAAATGTCTTGCCTGTGGTTTAAGAGCAAGAAGAAAAGGCAAGGTGAGGCCTAACAAAACACAAAGAGCTTGGAATGCCAACTTCGCTGCTGTTCACAGGCCTGCCGGCTTCACTTCCTGGCCTTCCAACCTGGTCTGCTTGCTAGTCTCTCAACACCAAAATGCTCCATCGCTTGTCCTCCCTAAATGACAATTTGCTTGTCTTTCTTCCATGGATCCTAAATTCCTGTTTCTTCTGTCATGATAATTTCCCCTAACAACGCAAACCGATAAAAACTTAATTCACAGGGAAGGATGATGGAGTCTCTGGAAGATCTGCTGCCTAGGTGGATCTGCCAGAGTTCTTTACAGTAGCTTTGGCAGACAGGAAAGGCAACTGACTGGCCCCAGACCTGCTCCCCAGCAGGGTGTGAGCCGGTGCTGTAAAGACAGCTGCAATTCTGGCTGGAGTGAGGGTGAGAGCCTGTGAGTCTGTGGTTCTGAGGATAGCCACACTTTCTCCCCACTGTCTGCATCCCTTGGCCTTTGCCTCCCAGCAGCACAAAGCCTGGAACTTAAAGGGCAAGGCCATTTGGCTCTGCATCAAAAGCAAGAGTGGTGGCATCTGCCTGTAATTCTAGTATACAGGGGCTGGGGCAGGAGAACTGTGAGTTTGAGGCCAGCCTGGGGTATGTAGAGATACCCTCTCCACTCCCCCCCCCAAAAAGTAAAGGAAGAGAAAGAGGAAGAGAGAAAAAAGTAGAAGAAAAAGAAAAGGGTGATGGGGGATATCACATCAGCAAAGATCAGCACAAGTTTCCAAGACAATCATGTCATTTCTGCAAACTCCCTGCCAGAAAGCTGGGTGTCCAAGCAGAGCGTGCAGTAGAAAGATAGAAAGATGGGTCCTATAGTTGGCTTCTAATATTTGGATGTACAAATCTTAACATATCCAGTGAATGACTCCGTTCTTCCACGATCATGGCTCTTTCTTTCCCACTAATGCTAGAATACATATATTTCTAAAGTTAAACAAATGACACAAGCAGGCATGAGCTGAGACATTCGGACACCACACACCCGCAGTAACCAGGAAAGAAGACTGCCCCTTTAAAGCCCCGGTTTCCTGTTACAAGATAAGTCACACCCAGCCTTAATTTTAATCATCGCCATTTTCTTCTTTGTTTACACTGTGTTTTAAACACTGCTCTGGTGCCTGATTTTGTAGAAATACACACTGGCTTCAGGCTGTGCTGAAATATCAAAATTGTCGCAGAATAGGCTAGCTTGCTAAATTTTGTCTCCAAAGTCCAATAAAGTGTTTGACAGTGAAACTGGGGACAGGCAGGTCCTAGATCTTCAGCGTTGCGAAAATTTTAATGTAATCCAGTATTAATTATTTCTGTCCTGAGGCATTCCTCAAGTCGTGTTACTTAACGTCTTGTTTGTTTCTTAAACCATCCCTAGGAGTGTGTGGTGAGCTGATATTGATACAACTTAGCTGATTTTAGATTAATATTTGACCCAATTCATTTGTTTGGAAAATATCTGCAGGGCAGGGCAGGGCAGGTCTTTTACAGACCTTAGCTAACTCCAGGACTACAGCATATGCAGCCCTGCTTGCTCTCTATTTTAATACTTGTAATTTTGGAAAAATGGTCAGCAGCAAACCACTTTAACAATACAAATCAGTAAGGGGAAGACTGCAAAATGTAGAAAGTTCATTAATGTATGCATACACTCCTTGACTCATGACATGATTGTGTCACAGGAACACTCAGTGAAGATACATGCAGGGCACACAGCTAGGGTCATGACCCTGTGACAGACTGTGACCTGCAGCCCACTGCCCCTGCCCGGCATTGCAGGAATGTTTCACACAGCACATGGCCAGCCTGGAAAGGATCAGAATTCCATAAGTGGTTTCTCCTGAATATGTGTCAATTTTGTACTAGACAAGTCAGAGTATCACAAGCCAACATAACTCAAGGACAGTTTGTGTGAGTGGTGAGTCAGTTGTACAGTGTCATTGTTTCAAACTTCTGGAATAACTGCTAAGGTCATGTCTGATTGTAACCCAGTGGTGTTATCTCTTTGTGCATGTTTCTGCCAATGTAAGAAATTTGGGTTCCAGGCTGTTTAAAAAGTCGAGTCCCTCTTCTTCCTGCTTTTCACTGCAGCAGCCTACAGAACCTGCCGGAGACCCCCTGCCTTCGTAGTTATAGGTGAGGACATAGTCTTGGGAAGGGGTGTGGTCTTCGTTCTGATTACACGCGTGCAATTTCTGTAAAGTCCAAAAAAGAGGATTGTATTATTTCTTTAAACAACTTCAATATATGAACAGAAAATTTATTTTATTTACCTTTAATTTTTAACCAGTGTGTCCTCTAATGGAGTCCTATACACAAAAAATGCACATGATTGGTCTATATTACAGCCATGTCATAAATCAGTATAGTTGCATTTTAATAATCCATAAAAACAAAAAAGAGGTCTAACAAATGTTATATCTAAGTACATCTAAGTCATCCCAAAATACGTATTCCTGAATGTTATGTCTGTAGTGTAGATCAGTTCTCAAAATGGAGACAATATGGCAAGTGGTTTGAATTTGTATGTGGGTATCACATGGCACTAGTTTCATGTAACTTTAGTGACTTGTGTGACTCTAAGTTGCATTCTCCTCCAATATCACTTGGTTATTTTGGAAACAAATGATGGAAATACAGTGCACGGCATGCTTCTTATGCCCATCAGTGTACAATGAATGTAAACTAACCCTTTATTGTGTGCAATGACGAAGTACAGTAAGAAAATTCCTCCACTTCAAAGTAGCCAAAAGCCAGAGATGTATGACCAGAAAACCTCTGAAATTAAATCCTCAGCTTAACTCGGACTGTAGAAACTATGCTTCCCTTGTGAAGCAGTGAAGACTTTGGCCACCTCTGCCCTCAGTGCTGTGTCCCGCTGGCCTGTCTTCCTCCCACTACTGACCTACTTGTGTAGTCCTCCACTAACCCTCTGCTCAAGGCCAGCTGCTGCCCTTACCTCCTATTACTGCTCAAGGCCAGCTGCTGCCCTTACCTCCTATTACTGCTCAAGGCCAGCTGCTGCCCTTACCCTCCTGTTACTGGTTAGGGCACTGCACTCCCCTTACCAGTTAGGGCACTGCACTCCATTACCATTTAAAGCACTGAACTCTAGTTATCAGTTAGGACACTTCAGAGAGTTCTCTCTATCACAGAACTAAAGGTGACTGTTACAGTGTTTGCTACAAAAGCAACGGTGCTCTCTGAAGCAGACCTGGAATCAGTGCCAGCAAGAATGTTGAAACAGGATCTCCTACCCTGGCCCCACATACAAATCACATGTGAAATTATGTACACACACACACACACACACACACACACACCAATGGAATCAGAATCTTCAAGAATGAAGCAAAGGCATTAGTACAGCTAAAAGCCTTCCAACAACATTGATGTAAACACATACTTCCTCATTTAACCCTTTCTTTCACAGAATTTTTCTCTCTGGACTCTAGATAAGATTCTTTATATTTGCAGAGCATGCTTTATGTATTAAAAATAATTGATATGATAATGTGTTGGATGTTTCAAAATCACTGAGAATAAATTTCAAATGTCCTCAAACACTGGGTTTTTTTTTAACCATTCTGCATTGCATACCTACACGACCACTCACCACACCCTGTAAATATGTGAGTTAATAACTAGTCCATTTAGAATAAAGTAAGTAAAAAATTAATGTGTAGCCTAAGTGAAGTATGTTGATCATCAACCTAAAGCTGCATTTAGATGTTTTCATAGCAAAATACAAGTTTGATTTGGGAAATATATATCTGTTACAGACTAGAATTTGTCTTTACATTCTTCTTATCAAAGGGGTTTATAAGATAGATATACACCTAAAAATGAATCTTTGGGGGCAGATATTAGAAGTCTCTAGTTCTCATAAGATTCTAGAAAATGTGACAGAGGGATCAAAATGTTTAAAAATTAAATGTGACAAAACCAAAGCATCTTTTAAATGACCAGAACTAACAAAAGAAGGCACATAAAGCACCACCGTGGCAAAGCAGTTTCTGGACATTAATCATCAGTGTTCTATTGTTCTCTACTTCAGAGTGAAATATCTAGGGACACTCACTTCACCAAGTCGGGGCTGAGTGAAGCTGTGCCACTCTGAGTAGGTGTATCTACAATTGTCAGTCTCCATGTGTCCTCCTCTGCAGGAATCCAGGGTGTGGTGATGCCCAGTAACACGGCAGGAGTCTAAGGTCTGGTGTCCTTTCATCATCTCAATTGTCTCCTGCCCACCATTTCTGATTGTGCCACAGAAGCCTTGGCTGGAGTTGTTGGCAGTCTGTGTGGTGAATCCATTGGCCGAGCACTGCATTATAATAAAACAAGACAGCAGTTGGGAGCAATGAAAGTCACACATTGCATAAAGCAGCTGTAATCATTACTGTTGTAGCAAATTACCAACATAAATGACTAAGTTTGAAATAATAAGAGTGAAAAAAATAAAACCGAAAGGTAGACTTCTTTTATGAATACCACTCTATAAGCTCTGGAACACTGGTAGACCAAAGACGACTTACAATTTACAAGATCCCAACTGTTTACACATAGCAAGCGACTCCTAAATAATTACCCGGATGAATTTTAAAGCTAGAGGAATAATTATTCAAAAAAGAAATTACTTACCACCCTGTCATCCCCAGGTGCTTCGGTGTTTGATATAATTAAGTTTTGCTGTGCTAAATCTTCAGGAAAATGTTTTCCTTTCCGGGCAGTAACAACTCCACATACTAAAGTTAGCAGTACAGCTAAGTAAATATAATCAAAAGAAAAACATTTTATAAAGAACATACTTAATTAACCATACATACAAAAGCAACCATCCTTTACTGTTTATGCCTTGGGCCACAAGAGGACAATAAGAATATTAACTGTACCTCTGTCAAATTATCGTGGGTTTGCTAAGTTCACGGGCACAATTTGAAATGTGCAATAATCACACGTAAAGTGTTTAGAGTCATGAGTTCAACTGTAGATCTTAAAGTCTCAAACATTTATTTAAGTCAAACATTAAAAATATTTACTGATTCCCAAAAGATCAGTTTGCCAATTGGAAAGTACAAACAACAACAACAAAAACCCAGACTCCAATAAACATAATTAAACACATTTGTATCTTACTTAGATTTTTCTGCTACATCATAATAATAGGAGATTTAAGATAATGTGATCACTAAACCAACAGTGATAGCAGAGATTTACAGTGGTCCAGAAGACTCGCTGGCATGCTGGCAAACCGTGGCTACTATTCCAGCTACCACATGTTTTTGTATAACAAGACCTAAGATGTTAAGCCTTTAAGTTGCTAAAAGGAAAAAAAAAGATAGCAATAATTCATGATACTAAAATTACAGGAAGCTGAGCATATTAGTACTTGCCTTTAATACAAGAATTTGAGAGACAGAGGAAGGAAGATCTTTGTGAGTTTGAGGTCAGCCTGATCTACACAGTGAGTTCCAGGGCAGCCAGATTGATACAGTGCGACCATGTCTCAAAAAGCAAAACAAAAAAAAAATGGAAACAGAAAAATTACAGGAAATTCAAAGTTTGGCATTCAGATTTGAGGTGCTGAGGGAACACAGATATGCCTTTCACTCACATATTCTTCTCAGAGGTGGCCTTTCTGTTATATGTCACAGATTTCAGCAAGCCAAAATGGTTCTGAGATATATACACCATCTGTCCCTTGAAGGATGATGTGTCTCCCCTCCTGTCTACATGCTACCTTCTGGCTGTGCTTCTCCATCCTCTTCCCCTCATCCACTCCTGCCTAGACACAGGAGTCTCCAACAAGCCATTGTGTTACTATTACTGAAAAGCCAGCAAATAAACAACATCTAGACTGGGTTATTCCTAGACCATTGTTTGACTTCTCCAGACATAAACTCACCATACAGCCTTTGACTTGACTTTTGCCTCCAACTGAAAGCTTCTCCCTGTGTGTGCCAACACAGCTAACTCCCAAAATCATATCATGTAGGCAAGACCTTGTGATCTACCATCTTGAAACATGTGGCCACCAGGCCCGATGACCTCACACATTCACAGCAGCATGACTGAGTCTACTTACTGTACTCCAACTTTTCCTTTTGGTGACTTTTTTTGGTTGTATTTTGTGGTTTGTTTGTTGTTTTTGTCTGTTTTGCTCTCCAATGAATCCTACTTAGTAAATTGTCTGAGTTTAATAGGTGTTCAAGATATACTCATTTTGTTGGGTTGATAAAAAGTAATAAATATATGTTAGAAATTTAGAATGCTCTAATCTGAGAATTTCATATGAGTTAACTCAATGGGACCCAAAAGAGTAGGTTACTACCATTGTCTCTACAAATAAGGAAAGGGAAGCAGAATTGAGGAAACTAAAGACTTTTTAACAATTCTGTCTGAGTGTGGAACCTGTCCCAGAAAGGATCGTGTTCCCTCAAATAGTGACCAGTCAAGCACAACTCATGTATTCAGAGGCAACTTGTAAAGGAACTCATACTTGGTAGATGCTTGTCTATGTTTACTTCCCAATATCCTTTTGGATAATCAGATCTTTTATTTTGCATTTTAACTTCAAGTGAGTGAAAGTACTTACAAAATAGCAGTGCGATGCCCAACAAGATGGCAAGGATGGCCCACTTCCCCAAGGTGATGCCTGCACTCCTGGACCTGGCCGCACACTGGCTCGGATGAGTACAATCACACAGGTTAACTCTCAAGGTTTTGGTTGCAGATTGGCCTGCTCTGTCTTTTACAGTAACAGGAATACTGTATTCTTGAACTTCAGCATTTTTCCAATAGGATAGGCGGGCGGCTGTATCTTTAAGAAAATACAAAGACTTTATTTTGATTGATTTCAGGTGAAGAGTTGTACACATGCATGTGCTCACATATAGAGATCTTGTAAGAACCCCAGGTATCATTTCCCAGGAAATGACTACCTTGCTTTTTGAGACAGGGTCTCGAATTGCCTACCACTTGCAGATTAAGTTAGGCTGGCTGGCCACCAACTCCAGGGATCCCCCTGTCTCCTCCCCACCACTAGGACTATGATTACAAACAGGTACTACCCTACCTTGATTTTTCATGTGGGTTCTAGGGACTGAACTCTTGTCTTCATGCTTATATTACAAGCACTTTATTGACTGAACTCTCTCTAGCCCAATGTTATTTTTAATGACTAATTATTCTTTCCTTAGAATCCATTGCACCACTATTATTGTAAAATATCCACCTGTCACCTTAAAAAATGTAAAGAGGGCTGCCTTGATGCCTTCTACCCTTTCGGGAATTAATATTACCTTAGACATGTTTCTCCTTGGAAGTCTATAAAAGAAAGCCTTAAAGAATAAATTGGGGTCCAGGTAAGCAATGCATACGTGCATTCCTAACATCTGAAACTCGGGAGGCTGAAAAATGACAATGAATTTGAGACTAGCTTGAGCTACATAGTGAGATTCTACTTCAAAAGGCCAAAATAATAATAATGATAAATAACAATAATAATTTGATATTGAAATGACCTAGTAGAGTTCCAGAAGTATCTAATTTCCCCTGATTGATAGAGAATAAGAATGCTAGGTTAGTTCTTAATGTAGAGATCAATTTTTTCCTTAATTGCAGCTCATATGCTCTTTAAGAATCTATATGTGAAGATACATAGGGCACATTCTCCATTTTCATGCTCTAAGCCATTCACCTTCTGCTGTCTGCCCATTAGCCCTCTGGCAAAGTCAATGTTTCAGAGAGCACAGTGCTTCCTATGTGACTAATGCCTTGTATGTGGAAATAATCTCCCTATCAGAGCAAATTATACTTCTTCTCGTTTTAAGGCCATAGCCATATACATCACAATACTTTGTTTTTATCAACTATGGTAGTCAACTTCCCACAATTGTCTTGGCAGCTTATTTGAATAATGATATTGGCAGTTAACCAAAGCTTTATAGATGTTCAGTGTCAATTATAACATCCTTGAGTTTTTATAATAGAAAAAAATGGTGTCATGTCAGCAAAACATATAATCCAGAGAGCACCTGGAATTTGTAGAGCTTAAATGTCTATTAGAGATTTAAGGATTTGGCTACATCTTGTATCTGAAAACTTGCTAGAGGACTGTGAATAGTTCTTGGATTATAACGGAACCTCAGCATTACTGGTGTCGAAGGAAAGATTGTGCAAATCACTGACCATTTCCAAGACCACTGGCCAAGCCAAAGCCATGTCATATATCACAGTAGTTCAACAAACTTAGATTTTCCTTGTCAATCAACTCTTTCCTCTTCCAATTATCTCCTGACACTACTGTCATATATGTAAGACATACATCTGGGTGAAGAATGGCCTCTTTTCACAGTCCCAATGCATACTCCACTGTCACCCATCACACAAACAAAGGTCAGTCTCCTCCTCAGCTCGGGACATAAGACTCGTCAGTACCTAACTTCGCCCTTCCTTACACCCAAACACTCAGCATTCCTGAGAAAATCTTCTAAATCCAGATGTTACCAAATCATTCATTTCCCTATTGTGTTTTCTTCCTATATTCATGGTCTTTCGCCAAAACATTGATTAAGCAATCGCTTTTTAAGTAGTTATTAGCTGTTAGGCAGTGGGCTCAGTGCTGAAAGTGAGAATATGGGTTACAAATGCTGTGAGAAAGGACAGTTAGCAAACAGCGGTCATACAAGGTGTGTGTGTGATGCCAACAAAGGTCACAGGGCCCTCCTTATACTTCCAGGGTGAGTTCTCAGAGGTCTAGCATCTGAGCTGGGGTAGGTAGTACCTGCCTGACTGGTCCATATGCCTGTACTCAGAGTCTGCAGCTTACCTGACCAATAGAATTAATGCTGCATTTATAAGTTAGTACGAAACTAAGACACATAGAAGGTGGGGCTTTTAGGCAGAAAGGACACCATGCATAAAGCTTAGCATGAAAAAAAAGCATGGTATCAGGAGCTGGTTTAAAATGCTTACTGCTCTTCCTGAGGGTCAGAGTTCAGTTCCCAGAACATATACCAGACAGTTCACAACTTCCTGTAACTCCAGCTTCAAGGAATCTGACAATATGACATCCTCTTTTAGCTTCTATGTGCATGTACACATGCACACACACACACACACACACACACACAAGCAGTACAGAGAGAGATGCATATACATGCACACACACTTACACATGCACACATAGGCATACTCTTTGGAAAAGGCTAATTTATTATCCTAAACTTCTGCATTATACTCTGTGTAAATTAACCTCTCCAGTAGTTAATCTACTATATCAAGTCAGATGAACCATTATTTTTCTGGGATACCATTAACTTGTTTGAGTGTCCAGATCCTGTTGACTTCTGGAGAAGAGCTTGCCAAGTTGAACTGAAACGGAGGGCCGTGGACAGGGTCATCAGGATCCATAGCTGAAATGTCCATATACCCCATCTTTGGCTTGCAGATGACAAGGTAATCTTGAATTATTTCAGGTGCATTGTCATTCACATCCTCAATGTTCACTGCTAGTGTTCCTGTGCACGATTTACCCTCTGGGAATGAAAAGGGACAAGGCTGAGTGCAGTTCTCATATGCTTGTCTTAGAGTCTCCAAAGAGGAAAATAAATTCCAACTCTGTATATACATACACACAAATACATCATTTTAAGTCCAGGTCCAACACATGAGACAAACCGTGTGTTATTTATGTTTCTGGGTCTAACTTGTTTCTCTTAACGTAATTATTTCCAATTGTGTCCATTTGCTGCAAATGCCACTATTTCATTTTCTTTACATAGACATGAGATCCAGCTGTGTGTATGAACCATGCTTTCTTTATCTATTTTTCCTTGATGGCCATCTAAACAGGTATATACCCATGCATGGTACAGCTATAATCTGTATTTCCTGAAAACATTATCATTGGTTATTAGACAAATAACAAATAAAAATATGGATGAATAAAAGCGACAGATTATCTAAATGGCTTCTGTTGCTGATAATATCAGACACAAGTTTCAACATACCTTTTGCCTGAGCTATTATAAATAACAGAAACAAATTCTGAATTGCAAGCTCTCTTGCCTTGGGCTCTTGGATATTAATGAGCGGTGATGAATGGCTATAGAAATATTATTCTAATCCCAGGAAGCATTCAAACCCATAGGAAGGCTTTATTATATTACACCCAGGCTCCAAAACCAAAAATTCTAATTCAGTGAATACAAGGTAATGTCTACACATTGAAATTATTGTTATTTAAATTAAATCCACAGGTAGAGGAAATTTACTTTAAAACCAGAATTCAAGTTTAGAAGCATTTAATAATCACCTGAATGAGTTAAAACCTCCAGGTAAAGTGGAACAAAGATACCTGGAGGAGTCTGAGGAGACCATTGCATAGTATTATGGTTAGATTTGATTGTCCTTTACAACAAAGCTGGGCAAGAACTAAGCTCATGCAGATGGAATATGAAGAACTATGAGATGTGTTATTAGCCGAGCATATTGATTCATACCTATAAACCCAGCGCAGGGTAGGCTAAGGCAAGAGAATTGCCACAACTTTAAGACCAGCCTGAGTTACACAGTGGGCTTGAGGACATCTTGGGCTACAGAGTAAGACTATGTCAACAACAAAAGTATCTCTCTGAGTGTGGAATGCAAGCCTGTAATCACAGCATTTAGTATGCTGAGGCACGGAGATCATGAATAACATGTTCATCCTTGGCTGCACAGTGAACTCAAAAGCAGCTTTGACTATGTAACACCCCCTTATCAGAAAACAAACCAACCAAACAAAACCAGAAATAACTGGTATCTTCTCACCAGAGTCATCTTGCAGGACAACAAGAGAGATACTGGTCTACAAGGCAATTTTCAAGAATTATGTATAGTTACCAAAAGATTACTTATGCACAAGAATAATTACAACTTACACTAAAATACTAAATTAAACCTTTGTTACCTTGGTCTATTGCCATGACTGTGATATTATATAAATCATTTCTTGGAGCCACGACTTCTCTGTCTAGGACTTTTGATATGGTAAGCAGCCCTGAAACTTCTTCAATACTGACCCATTCTTTAGGATCCTGCAGTTTTCTATACCTGTCAATACAATGAAATTGTGTAAGTCTTTGTCATCAGAACACCTCTCAAAATAAGTTGACTGTTTCACTTATGACAACTGCGTTAGCACATGGTTGCAGAGATTTGTGTACCTTAAGCCATTGCTATTCTTGGTTTCAGGATCGTAGGCCTTATAGCCATTGATCTTGGACCCCACAGCTGAGTTTTCTTTGATGCGAACATATTGCTCACGGGGTTTGCATTCTGGACCCTCATCCTGATCCCTCACATGAACTGTAACCAAGGCCCGGTTCATGGTGGGTACTCGACTTGCAACATCTCTGATGAGTGGAACTTCGTTGGTCACTCCAATCTCTAGAGTCACTTGATGGTTTTCTTCATAATCCAGTGGCTTTAAGACAGAGGATATGCATGTCAGCTCAGTATGGAGTACATTTGGTGCTTCAAGTAGCTGGGCATTTTCCTCAGTGTGGCAAGGACTGTGTAATAAATTCATGTTCACATTGTGTTAGCAGTGATATCTCTTCCATTCTGGAGCTGTGATCCTGTGCTAACTGACCCTTTACCAAGGGCGTCCTCCCAAACCTCCACAGATGGATTTACAAAGCCATAGGAAAGAAATTCCTCAACTATTTTTTCATTATTTTAAGAAAAACTATTCCCAACCTGGAAGTATTGAAGAATTATGTCAATGTCTAATAGGCTGACATTGGGGCCATCTGGCTCTGGTATTTGACAAACCTTGTAAAATTGCATGGTAACTTCAATAAAATCAAAAAGGTGAAAATATTTTATTTACTTTCTGTCTGGCAGATACTGAAAATGTCTATTTTCTTTTTGTGGTGCTTCAGGAATCTGGTTGGTTTGTTTTTATTGTTGTTGTTTATTTTCATTTCTGTGTTATTAAAAACAGAATCTACTCTACAGCCCAGGCCAGCCTTGAAACTCACTATGTTGTCCAAGCCATCTGGCTTAAACCTGTGGTGATCCTCCCTTCTCAGCCTTGCAAGTGCTGGGATTACTGCTGTGTGTGCCCTACTCAGCTCCCAATATCTATTTTAAGTCCCCGTATACAAGACATCTAATTGAGCCATCTCTAGTCTGTCTTTTCTCAGAGCAATAACCACCTAGGATCTCATTTCTTCTTAGGAATCCACCTCAGTTATTGCAGATTCCTTCCTGAGTGATGCAGCACTACCTGGTGTTATGAAAATTATATTTGTAATGATTTAAGAATAGGGCTTTGGCAGGTTAACTCTTGAATCCCAGGCATCAGCCTGGGAATCCAGCATGGGACTGATCAAGACCCCCCCGAATCTGGGTGTCAGTGAGGAGGCCTAGGGAATCTATTGAGCCTTGGACAGCAGATCAGTACCCATCCCAAGTATACACACGGTCTCTGGACTCCCATAGAACAATGTGAGGTGCACTCTCACCCTGAACTCTTGGGGAAGGGTCTAGGCCCTGCCCTATATGAAATGACAGACTATGGACACCCCCATGGAGGGCCTCACCCTCCCTGGGGGAATGAGGGGATAACGGGGGGGGATGGGAGGAGGGCACGGGAGGAGGGGAGGGAAAGGGAGAGGGACCTCGTACTGACTTGTGAAGCAACCTTGTTTCTTATCTAAATTTAAAATGGAAAAAAAATTAATAAAAAGAAAAAGAAAAGAAAAAAAATAAACCCCCCCCCAAAAAAAAAAAGAATAGGGCTTTGGCACAGTCTATCATTTACCACATGCACTTCTGTCTATGCAGAAGACTCACAGCGATCACTGCTCACATACAACACAGCTTTAAGCAGTGAGTGTAAACTCACTGAATCATCACGCCTGTGGGCAGCAGGAATTCCCATTGTCACCCCCATTTTAAACAGTAGCAGTCTGGAGAGTATGACGAGAAATTGGTCTTCCTAAAGTCAAAGGATTTTGTTTGGGCAAGAGTTTGAAGTCAAGTGGCTTGGCCTCAGACCCTTTCCTTTTAATTCATTTTAATCTCTCTGCACCACTAAATCAATTAATTTGGTTCATCAGTCTCCAGAAATGTTTTAATTAATGCCTTAGTTATAAGTGATTTCTAGACAGAAAAGTCTAGCAAAATCCATAAAACACTATTTTCCATTCTGCTGTGAAGGAAATCACAGGACATTTTCTCTGACTGTCTTTCTATTGATCAAAACAGTCAGTTGCTGAACTTAAACAAAATCAAAACAAATACAAGAGGGCCTAGAGAGATGGCCTGGTAGTTAAGAGTGTTTGCTACAGTCCAAGAGGATTGGAATTTTGTTCCTAGCATCTTTGACAGGCAGCTCACAGCTAACTGCCTATAATTATAGTTCCAGGTGATCCGACAGTCTTTTTTAGCATCCTCAGGCAACACATACCTGTGTAAAATTACATAATTTTAATTTGATAAATAAAATTGTTTTTATACTATCCTTACACCTAGATATCAATACATTGAGAAATAAATACCCACATCTCTCCTGAAAAGTCAAATATGTTGATGAATCTTAGAACTTATATAGCATGCATATGAAAATATTTTTATGACTATCCCAGGAAGCAAGAAGAAATAAGTATTAAGAAACTTTTGTTTGATTCTACCAAAGACTATCACACAAATCATATGCCGGGGCAGCCATATGGAGACAAGGACAACTTTGGGCAATGAAGAAGTGAAGGGCATGAAGATAACCATCATTTGTAGTTCTGGCTGAATGCAGCTACACTACTCAGGGCTGCTTCCTAGAGCCTGCCAGGTCTCTAAGCTCAGAGTCAATGGAGTAAGGAGAGCAAGTTCTCTCCACACTAAGGCATGCATTTGTTTCATTACATTAAAAATTTATTCAAAACATCCCACATGTGCATAAAAGTGCTAACAAATGCACCAGAAAATTGTGGAGGTTGAATTCAGGGCCTTCCATGTAAAAATGGCCAACATCTGTACTTTTTCCACTCAAAGTTGTGTGGATCACGACAAACTGGCAAGCTCTAGACAACTAAGAGATATATCCAAGTAGTTCTTGATTCAGTCTACTAATTATTCAGTCCTTCCATGTATAAAGGAAGGATAGAAGTATATCTATAGTTTAAGGTCTTGACTAACAATAAAGAACTAGGCTATTGGAAATGAAGACTTTATTTTAGCATAGTAACTCACTACCTAATTCCTTTTATTTCTCTTTTGGGTAGGGACACATATATACATACACACATACATAATACATATATACATACATACATACATACATACTAGTTTTTTTCATATGTTATGGTCAATGTATTCCATCTCCCAACTCCTCCCAGATCCTCCCTACCTCCCCACTTGACCAATTCCATGTCCTTTCTTTCTCTTTAGAAAACAAACAGGCAAACAGACAAGAACAAAACAAACAAATGAATCCCAATTTCTTCAACTGATAAGGAAGACTTCTCTTTGGAGACAAGGTCTACTTAGCAGAGGTAAATTCCAAATTCTATATTTAGTGTGCTTAATTTATGAAAGGTAGACCTCTCGTTGAGGGTAAAAGGTACCTAAGAGCTGCACAAGTCTTTTTCTTAGAAAAAAAGCCATCTTCCAGATGAGTGTTGCTAGTGAAATACTTGGATAAAACACTGTGATGTTCTGCTTTCTAAGATTTTTGCAAAAAGCAAAAATAGAAGGCATAATTTGACATGATTGACACAAATTATATTAATAAAGAAAAAGAACAAAAAGAGGTAATATTAACATAGGAGTTAAGACAAAAGTGAACCCAGAAAAGTAGAACCTAATTAAAATTCCAATAAGAGATGTCCCTTTCATGTTGATGAGAACATACGTTGTCAAGGCAGACAACTCTAGTAAGAAATAAAGAGAACACAGCAATGTGTCATGAAGCTAGAGGAGCAAGAGATAGCCCAGAGCATGGGATGGCAGAGGCCCTGCATGAGGAGGATGCGTACCAGCAGTCTGGGTGAATGCTCATGATTCCTGTCCTGGGAAGGATGGGCATTCAGCTGCTGGAGCACGAGGGCCACAAGCTACCTATCCCCCCGCCTTTTTTTAACTACCTATTCTTTTTATGTGAGCCACAGCGATACTTGTCTTTGACTTAGTCACCTCATTTTTTAAAAAATGGAATATTAGAAATAGCCATCCAGGGTTATGAAAGTCAAATAAATATTTAAGTTCAGTGGTGTTGTTTTTCTACTCTCTTTTAAAAGTGAAATGCAAATTATTTGTGTTTGTATGTGGGTTGCATTTGCCTATGTCTACAGGTACACACACACATGCAGGTTTGGAAACCAGAGAATTATGGTTTTCTCCAGTTTTCTTCTATCCTCTTCATCTTGTTGTCTTGAGATAGGATCTCTTGCTGAACCAGAGGTTCACCATTTTGTCAAGGCTGGGTAGCCAGAGAGCTCTCAGGATCCACTCATCTCCACTCCCATGTATTGGCATTATAGGCATGCTCAGTCGTGCCAACCTTTCCACATAGGAGTTGGGGATTCAGACTCATGCGCTCTTGCTTGAAAATCAAGCAATCTTACCTACTGAGTCATCTCAAGTGCATCTATAAACTGCTTTTACAAATCAAGGATGCAATTGATAATGATGCTCAATGGTAACTGTATAAAAGACAAGAACTGCAGCCGAATTTCGGTTGCAGAGAGGAATGTAAACGCTAGACGCGAATTAGAAAAACATATTAAACACAACTGCCTCACAAGAAGAGCCATGCTCTCAATTAAGCATCACCATTTCTAGGAATCATCCTGTATTTTAAAATAACACTTGTTTCTGCACATGTAACAAAAATTCTCACAAACACACACACACACACACACCTAAGTTATTTGCTTTAGTATACTTTCAAATCACAAAAAGGATTTCCTCTAGTGAAGTACAGCTTATACTCACGCCATGGAGTACTAAAGTATCTATATCATATAGTTCTAAAACTGAAAAACTATTTATGTACAATATGATAATGGCTTCAGACATAATTGTTTATATAACACATGGTTTATATTTCCATAGATGTGGAAAAGATTTTTAAAACTACATAAAATGTACTGATATCAGTGTTTTAATCTCAGCAATATGCTAAAAGAAGGGTGACTTTGTTTAAAATACTTGTGTGCATGTGTATGTGTGTGTGTGAGTGTATGTGTGCACATGTGCATGCTTGCATGAGTACATGTGATACCTTTGGAACATCAAGTGAGAAGTTGGCAATGCTTACTGACTCTTCTGGAAGAACCAAATTTCTTAGGAAAAACAGGAAATTTCACTACATATTTTTGGTTTTAAACTAAATCTATTAATAGTCTCCTTATTAAAATCAAATTAAAGTAAATAATACGTTTATTGATTGTTAAGTAGCAAATAGTCTATTCTCATTTAAGCCAAGTAAATGAGATAGCTCACAGGAAGCACTTGGTATGCCTGTCATTTGGTAAATAGCAATTTACTGCCAGCGTTGGTTCTCTAGCCAAATGTGGACATGAAAATATAACTGTGTGAGGAGACACTGCAAACAGTCACCAAGCTGTGAATGCTGCTAAGTGAGTTTGCTGGGTCATGGCGTCGTGGAAAGGTCAGCGATGTGGGAATGTTATTAAACAGGTTTTCACTCCAGATGGGTAATTTCTATCTTCCTTTAAGGAACTCATTTAACCCCATCACCATCAAGTTGCTTATTATTAGCATTATCTGTCACTATTAATATCAGTTGGGGATATTAATACCTTATCCTAAAGGAGAAGCAACATCTAAGGTAAAGTAATACACAAGTCTCATCCATTGTCTGTCACAAGAATATGCACAGTCCATAACTACTATTTATTTTTAACTACTAAATGTATTCACTAGATGTAGGAATATAAATTATTCTCATTTTAAAACTCTATAAATTTGCATAATAATTATAAACATAATTGAAATTATCATGTTATAAATAATGGAAATAAATATGTTTCAAGGTTTGCTGGGGAGAAAATATTCTATTCTATATATCTGAAACTCAGCAAATGTGAACCAGAGATAAAGCCAGGACATGCTGAAAGAGTCGTTTGATAGTGAGATTGCATGTCTGACTATTCCCATTTGGATAGAACTTTCCAGGCCTTGACATACAACCCCTTAGAGCTCTTACATGGGAAAACAACTAAAGCCAGTACGGTTACACTATATTCACATTAATAGGCAAGTGTACCTCACACAGTAAATAGACATAATGCCTACCCACAGGACACTATTATCTTTTTATTTGAGGCTAGAAATATAAAAACAAATGTTCATGTCAAACAACGACTTTCCTGCCTTTATAGCTTAAGACCAAGAATATAGAGTACAATCAAATAACAATACATACAATAAAAGTATGTCCATTCAATGTTGTCTTGGGTAAAACTGTATTGACCCTAGGTATTATCTATTAGGAATAAAATACAACCAGGCATGTATCCTAAAAAGAATGAGAAGAATATGGGGCTTCTAAGTTACATTGGGAATACTCAAATGAACACAGAAACATTTTCCCCAAAAAAAATTTAAAAAATGTGTATCTCTTCTAGTCATAGATCCAGGCCCAAGGATGCTAGTTGCAAAGAAAATGACTTGTGCAGAGTTATACTAAGAACTTTAAAAATAAGGCTCTCTAACTGTGGGAGTGGTACCACTGGATACATAGAGATTTTTATAATTAACAATATTAAGAAAGAAGGCTCTGTAGGTGTGGAAGAGGTGCCAGTGGAGATACAGGGATCTTTATAATTGACAGTATTCTGGCATAACACAGGAGAAAAGGAAGAGAGGGGTCACGGGAGAACCATCAGTCTAACTCGTTCTCTTTCAACTTGGCTAGTATAGGATCAGAAACTGTCTAGGTGATAAAACCACTAACTGGCATAAAGTTCATATTCATTATCTACTTACCTTCACAACACATAGAACACCCTCATTTGTCGCTGGATCTGTTGTAATTTTGAAGCGTTCATTTTCATTTCCTTTTAAGATGGTAAAATTTGCCTTCCAGTTTTCACTTTTAATCAAGTCCTTATCATCTACAGGTATGCGCAAGATTTCAACATTATATGCGTTTTCCTCCACAGAAGCTTCATACTGGAAGAAGAGAACGTCATTAAAATTTTTACTTACTATAGAAAACTTTCCCAAAGTAAAATGTTTTCCAATTTCCAAAAGAACTTATCTTTGTGGTGTTTACATAGATTACCTAAAAGCATGGTCATAAATAGTACTGTTTCATGAAACTTTAAAACAAAGGCTATTTCCTACAAATGTAGACTGATGTTATTGCCCTTCAACAAGAGGTAGATAATATAAATACTAAGATCAGTAAACAGAGACATGTGTAGATGTGTACACTGTATATTTGAACTACAGTTTTATTCATAAAGGAACACATGCCTCAAAATATGCCAAAAACTTTATAAGTACAAATTAGAAAACAGAAATAGACAGAACAAAGATAGATCTGTGTTTTCGACACTTACTGCATTTTGTCTGAATGTGGGTGCGTTGTCGTTGGAATCTTGCACTGTTATGATACAAGTTGATGTACTGATCAGTCCAAAAAATTGGCCATTCATGTCTTGGACTTTCATTATCAATGTGTACTTGTCTATAACCTAAAAGTAAAACAAATATTTCATTGACTCAGACACTTGTTTGAATTCGTAAATGAAACCAGTGTTGCACATTCTTTCACTTGTCTTTATTTAATTTCTACGTTTGGGTATACTCTTAAAATTTGGGAGAGAAAGGTAATTCTGAAAATGTAGCACTTTACAAAAAGACAGACTGAGAATTTACATGTTTTCTAACAAAAAAACATAAAAGTCAGAGACAGAGTACAGACTAATGACATTTGAGTTTTATAATGCTCTTGAGGAAGTGTAAGCATTGTCCAGAGCAGTGATCCACCTCTGGGTCATGACACCTTTGGGTTGAATTACCATTTCAGAAGAGCCACCTAAGGCTATCAGAAAACAAAGATATTTACATTACAATTTATAACAGTAACACTATTATAGTCAAGAAGTAACAGTAGAAATAATTTTATGGTAGAATTGTATTAAGGGTCACAGCACTAGGAAGGTTGAGAACCACTGGTCTAGAGTAAGCCAACCTAGTGTCATGGTGAACAAACAGGTATGGAACTCCTATGCTAGACGGGTAGTCTAAACCCGAGGCAATAGAAACAAAAGCAAAGGGAAATGGATATGAAATGTACTTGGGAGTTAGAGTAGAACAAGATTCGATAATCAGATTATCCACTTAAGAGATAAAGAGGTGGTTGAGCACAATATGGTAGGCCAAGTTATACAGGTAGGTAGACAAGGCCACCTCTTGCCATCATGGAAGGTCCAGAATGAGACAGCTCTCTAAGGGCAGCATCAGGAGGGCTGTGAATATGGAGGGGGTGTTCAGCAGTGTGTAGGATTTTATTTGCATAATGAGATCTAATAAACAAGAACCCATAACGCCTATGTTGTCCATCCCTCGTGGTAGTGATAGGGAGGCACCCTCCCATGGGGGTTGGTTAGAATCAGGCAGAAGAGGGTATGATGAGAGGAGCTGAGACATGATGAGTAACTGTCTCCTCAAGCACATGAAAAGGAAGACAACTAAGCAAAGAGTATTAATAAGCAAATGACAAAGAAGCAAGATGAGAATCATAAAACCAAGGTAAAAGGCTTTAGTGAGTGCCAAGCAAAGAGACTAGAAGACTACTAAATTTGGCCATTGAGAGGTTGGTTATACATGACCCTGAACTTGGAGTAGTGACCAGGACATGAAGACATTTATCAGAGATGCAGTCATTATTGTTGCCTTTTATTTTACTCTTCTGCAGTCATCCCTTCTGTTGATTGTTTTCATTTCTGGAATCTTCCTCTCATCCTCAAGTCTTCTGTTTATGTGCTCTCCCTTTCTCACTACAAGTCAGCATTTTGCCAAGAGGCACTCCTCCAGTAGTCCTCAAGACACGGATAACCTGTGCTTTTCATCTAACTTCCATGATTTGTTATTTCCTTAGCTCATTCACATCTTCAATCTCTATATTGCTCTGCACAAAATGCCTGTCCCATTATATTTTTGTTTTCAGTCTGAGACTAGATCAGGTTTGGACCTTTGAAAGAGTAATAATCAAGTCTTATAACTTTATTTCACATTCCTTAGCCTCATCCATTTTAATCTGTCAGATGGGGGGAAGCCCTGTCTTCAATTAATTAACATACCCATTTTACATAATAGAAATGCATTAAAATATCCATATCATGTCTTCCAACTTTCCCACTTGTTGCTGTGATGATTAATCTCCATCATCAGCCTGATGGAATTTAGGGTCACCATGGAAACAAGCATCTAGGTATGTCTGTGTGTGAGGGAGCTACAGGCTTGGGTGAACTGAGATGGGAAGACATCTGTGGGCAGCACAGCTCCATAGGCTGGGCCCTGAATTGCACAGGAGGAGAAGCGACTGGGCAGCAGAATTCCTACCTCCCCTCCTGCTATGAGTGCACTTGTGACCAGCTGCCTCAAGGTGACCTGCCTTTCTGACTTCCTCCCCTGATGGACACACCCTTGGACTAAACCCCTCCTTCCTTAAGTTACTTTTATCAGGTATTTTGCTGCAAGAATAGGAAAGCAACTGAAACAGTGTTTATTGTTCAATGCCTTACCACATAAATGCTCCAATGTTACAAAAAAAAATTTAAATGGAGGAAACAAAACCTTTTGTACTAGTTCATGCCCTTTCTATAGATTCCCACATTCTGATCTCTTTTCTTTGGACTCACACTCCATTGATTCTTTACATACCATTTGTCCTTGTCACCGTAATCATTCTAGGTACACTGTTCTAGCTAGAGTGGAGACCCTGGAAGCGCCCCAACAAAATTGCTTTGTACATGTGATTTATCTTCAGTTAATAATGCTTGACTCTGAGTTAAACAGGTTGACCAATCAGAGAACTAATAACAAAAGATTCGAAGACTTCTTAAAATAATTTGACTTGGGCAAGAGAATAAATTTTTCTATCGCATTTCTTCTATAGAGATTGGATCATCGTTATACCTTGTTAATCAATCAAGTAAATAATTTTGAACACCAATTAGTATTCACATAAAGAGATTGAATACAATTACCACACACATAACCATACACTATTATTAGTAAATTTAATTTTATCCCAACTAATACTTTTCTTTTTAAAAACTACACACAGTTAGACTAACTGAATAGGAATCAGGATGAGAACTATACTTACCAAAAAAAAAAAAGCTAAACATTAGTGCGCTGCAGGACAACTGAAGCCTTTACAGCTCTGGAACCAACTAGCCTCACACTTGAAAGGAAATAAAACGATATGCAATAGTTTTCCTAAGAAACACATTCATTGTGTCTTTCATTTTAAACACAAAAGATTAAGAAATGTTCCTATTTCTTAATGCCTCTCTTTCATAGGGAAATAAAAATAATGTTTAAAAACTAGGAAACATTTCAGGAATTCATAACTTCTTATACAATAAGATACAATTCAAATACAATACAAAATAGCATAGCAAGTTATAGTAAGTGGGAAAGAGTCAGACCCACAGTGGAATGACTCTCTGTACTAGGGACACTACCTCTCTGTCCAAGTAGTGAGAGATGGTGGTGATGACGCCGGTGTCAGGGTGCACAGAAAAGAGCCCAGGTGACCGTGGGTTCTGCTCCAAGATGCTGTACTTGAGGCGTGTGTGCATTGTGTCAGGCTCGTCTTTATCTGTGGCACACACCACTCCAACTACAGTGCCTGTGTGTTAAAAAGCAAATTTGAACTTCCAGAGCAGCACAGTGTATTTGGTGTCTGCACTTTTCAACTTGTCAGAGTGATGGTGGAAACCTAATTTAAAATGTGAATATACCCAAATGGATCACAGCGTTAAACAGGATATAGGAAGAAAACTTCTAACGGAGAAGCCAAACATTCTGGCATTGAGAGTCATTTATTTATATATGCATATATATGTATAATGTTCCTATGACATGATGTGTATGTGTGTGTTCACAGGTTAGAGAACTCAATGGCTGCCATGACTCCTCTCAGTGACTTTAAAACAGAACATGTAGAAGAAAGTGTGTTTCCTAAACTCCCAATTGTCCATCTTAATTTAATTTCACAAGTGTGCAAATAGAATGTTAACATTAAATAATCAAAATGTCACCGTAAAACAAGAAAGGGAAATGTAGATATATTATAGACGGGATATAAGCAATGACCAGAAATCTTAGCAGAGTCCCCAGTCTCACCATATAGTGGTATATACACTTCATAATGCAAGCCTCCAAAACAAAATATGACAATGCCATAGAAATAAAGCAATTTGTTTTCCACATCCAAGGGGTATGCTTAGAATGGAACCTGTGTGATCTAGGTGACCTCAAATTTTTCTAGTGTGTATTTTAAATTACACGTCTTAAAGTAGTTCAAGAAAACAGACATTTAAAAAGAATTTAAAAACTGTATCCTCCGGCTCTATCATTTAACACTTTCCCAGAGCCCCACTGAAATAGCTATACTACATTTGTTTTTACAGTTCATTCTACCTTGTGGGTCCCCTTGGAAAGGGGGATACGATGAAAGCACAAATAAGAAGATAAAGTAAAATGAAAAGTGTACATAAAGTAAAACAGTGTACAAATCCTGACTAGTGGTCGCATGCCCTTACTGATAATTAGTGTCACACTGACCATGTTGGAAATTCCTGGTGAGATGCATGTTGATTAGAATTGATAAGATTTGACCAATGTTTTCTGATAAGTAGATCCCAGATCTGTGTTAGCTCATGATTGACTGGCCATGAATACAAAACCTCTAATGGGGAGATATGTCCATTGACAAAGTGCTGTCTTGCAAGCACGAGGACCTGAGTTTGATCCCCAGAATCTACACTTAAAAATAAACTGGTAATGATGGTGGACTCAGAATCCCACAGCAGGAAAGTTGGAGACAAATGGATCTCCAGAGCTCAATGATCAACCTGCCTAGCCTACTTGACAAACTCCAGGCCACTGAGGAAAACACTATCTCAAAAAAGAAAAAAGTAAATTGTAACTTGAAGATGACAGGGGAGGTTGTACTCAAATCTGCACATGCACACACACACAGACACACACACACACACACACACAGAGAGAGAGAGAGAGAGAGATGCACACACAAATGGATGCGTGCACACAAACAGTGCAAATAGAAACAAAAAATGTCTTAAAAACATACACAAACATGTTTGACATAGAAACAGCCTTACCAAGTCTACTGCTTTCTGGAACTTCAAAATTATAAATTGTTTCTGTAAAAAGAGGATAATTGTCATTTTCATCCTCTACTTTGATGGGCAGTGGAAGAGTTAAATCGGCTAAATAGCCATCTTCAGTGAAGGCATTGACAATCAACTGTGGGAGAAAGGAGGACAACATCAGCATCTCGACAGCATCACGCACAGGGAAGATGAGATGCCCTGTACCCTTCCCTGCAAGTCCTCTCAGGAGTAAGCTACCTCATCAACGCTCCACACCACACTGAGATAATTACAGCAACGGGCCTTCGTTGTAGGGAGGAAACAGCTACATTTGAGATGCAGAGTACGTCAGAATGGGGAGAATTTGGAGATGACATTCCATATGCATTATTGTGGGGCATTTGGTGTACTTGTAACTAAGTGTACAGCTTTAATCTCTCTGTCATCAGTAGGCTTCATTGGGAGAATGGACAACTTGTGGTCATTGGAAAAATTCTTTTATATTACCTAAAAAGCAAATCTCCCAATTTTGTTGTTTCTGGACTCTTAAACCGTCTGTTTAAACAGTTCTTATTATAAAACACATTTACTAAGTCACTTATTGATCATTAATCAAAGGAAACGTAATATCAGAATGTAGTTCTGCTCAGAGTGCAATTACAGCAAGTTGAACGTTTTTATAGCCCAAGGCAAAGAATGCCACATGAGGATATCAGTCAGGCTAGTTTCTCAGCACCTCTCTCATCTTCCAGAAACAAATGGAACCCTCCTTCCCAATGGGGAATCCTTATTGCTGAACTTGGTTCATGACAACAGAGCACAGTCTTCTCTGTGATGGAAACTGTCTAAGTCAGTCCCCCACTGAATGTACACTTATCTGTATCAGATATCTGAGCTATTAGCGTTTATTTACACCTTGTTTCCCACTTTTATTCCTTTATCTAGTTATCAGACATGATCAAAGAGTAATGTTTGTAGAAGAAAGACAAAAAAGAAAGCTAGAGCAGTGGAGGAAGATCAGTGTATCTGCCTGGAGAACTGAAAATGTTCCAGTAACCAGAGATGCTGTCTGACAAGCTAAACCTCCTACAACCGTACTGGGTTTTATGTTCAAATACAATTAAACCTCTTTGTTTCATTTCAGGATTGCCTCATGCAAGCTGAGATAAAGGGTTGAACAAGCATTCCAACGTACAGTGCATGCCATTGTCTTTTGACTTTACAACGCCCTCTAAGGAGAGATCCCAAGAAAAAAAGAGCAGGTGAGGCCTCATAAGACAGACAGTTCATTAATATAGAACCATAACTGTCAATAAAACACCTACATCAAAAACGTCATATTCCTCACGATCCACAGGCTGAGTGCAAAACACTTTCCCAGTGTATTTGTCTATGCAGAACAAACCCTGGGGTTCTTGATCAACTCCCCGCCCATTTAGTGTGTAAATGATAGTATGGTTCTGAGCTGCATCGGACTGAACCTGAAAGAAAAACACAAAGAAGTAAGCACTTAGAATTACATTTAATTCTAACTTGTACTATATACATCTATAAGTATTTTATGTATCTTAAAAGCGATATTTCAGTAGAAAAGAACAATATAACTTATATGGTAAGGGTAAGTTCATGGTACACATATGGAAGTCAGAGGACAACATGCAGGAATGAAGTCTCTCCTTTCACCATATGGGTCCCAGGGATAGGACTCAGGTGTCAGGCTTGGTGGCAAGCACCTTTACCACTGAGCTATTTTGCAGACTCTTTCCTGCCATTTTCTTTATAGCTGAGGCCAAGATGCTGGGAAGAAGTTCCATCTAAATTGCAGTTACATATGGCTAGATGAGGGCAAGTCAATGGGATACACGAAAAAATATGAACAATAAAATATAAAATAAAATGTACTAATATAAATAATTATGACATGGTAGATTGCATAAACAAAATAATCGAGATCTGTGAAGATTTGGGTTGTGGAAGTGAGCATGCAACCTCACTTTTAAACACATGGATATGCCATTTTAACCATGCACAGGTAGCCAAGCTAAGTCTGTAGTCTCAACATATGTGGGACTGAGGCAGGAGAATCATAAGATTGAGACCAGCCTGGGCTACATGTTGAGACCTCATCTCACTTCTTTCTATCTCAATTTCTTTCTATCTCCAACGGTTATAGCAGTATCTACAATAACATGTAATACATATAGATACTCAGTAACCATCTCCCAAATAAAGGAATAAATGATTAAAGCCATGCAAAGTCTATAGATTGTCTTACACCATAATACATTGGTCATTTTCTTATTTTATTCATTTGTATTATATTTCATGAACAACTTTAGTCATATCTGCTTATTTTTTAATGCTTACCTATTTGCTAAATCTGAGTCAAACAGATTCTCCTCCTAGCAAGACCACAATCAGAAGTAAAGAATACCTACCTGTTGAAGAAACAATGGGAAGGGGCCCAAGGAATTCTCTTGCATTGAACAAGGAATGGGTGCCCATCTTCTCTTGGCTCTCCTGAGGACAGTATTCTTAGTGTGTCTTTTCTTCAGTACCTGAATTTAACAGTAAAACTAAGTATCAGGAGCATCACAGTCAGGTGAACCATGGAAAGGGAATATGCTGTCCTATACAGTAGCCAGTGGTCACCAGTAGGCATGTGATGATCCATGTCAGCTAAAATTAATTTAAGTGACAAACTCTATTATTTTGTTGCACTAATTGTATGTTAAGCACCCAGTAGCCATTGGCAGAGGGTCACTGTACCAGACACTGAAGATTATAGAACATTCTAGAACATTTCTATCACTGCAAAATGATCCACAAGATGCTTAGAAGTAATAATTTTATCTTATTTAGCAAAGGGAGACACTTGGTTTCATGGTAATTATTAACAACTAATAATTTATTAATTTATTAAATATTCAGTAAAATTCTAAGGAGTCAATTAATTAGCCTTACCACTAGTTCATTAGCATAGATTAGGTACAGGCCAATTGAAATCTTCCATCATTTTGTGACTATATTCGCAATGCTGTTTCTCATGAGTGAGTGTTGGCACTAATAAGGAACTCTAAAGGCTGTGACAAAAGAGCTCTCAAACTGATCCCAGAACACAACTGACTTTTGGTAGAAATCAAAGCTAGACAAAGGCTTCACAGAAGAGGGATATCATACATTTAACACCAGAAAAACCAAAGCCAGCATTCAACTGGTGTTGAGAAAGATTTAGAAACAAAAGACAAAGCAAGAAAATGGAGGAAAAAGGGAAAAAATAATAGGATCAAAACAGGACCGGAGGGGAGAAAAGGAAAAGAATGAGGAGTAAAAAGGACAGGAAGGGAGAGAAAAGATGCTGTTTCTCCTTTGGTCCTCTTTGCCATTTTCAAGGAAGGACTTTTACTGAAAGCAGCCCTATGCTTAAGAATGTACAGTGTGCTTTGCATACCTTCTTCTGGTGCTCCAGGATTACAGGGATCTCTTTCTGTGTCTGTGTCTTTGAGTCAGAAAGCTGAATGGCAAACAATCTTTTCTCTCCCGACAACACAAGATCTCTGATTGGATAGACTGACCCATCATCTAGAACTCTGAAATCAGGATCACTTGGCCTGATGCCATCAGCAGAGCTGAGACACTCCTTCAAATTAACTGCCAAAAAATTTTTCCAGTTGTTAGGTGGAGATGCATGCGTGAAGGAAACACATATGTTAAAATACTGTACATGATCATGAAAACCAAGCAAGGTTCGTTTGTAGAATGCCTTAATAGTCTTTACATTATTAAAAATAAGTATTTCATTTTAATTAAGTTTGATGGTTCTTGGCTGTATGTTTCTATTGAACATGATGTTTTACACTTGGCATGCTTCTTGTCAGCTTATGAAAATGATCTTCCACTAAAGAGGTACACACATGACTCTCATGAGTAGGTCAGCCACACACCCTCAGGCGCACCTGAATAAACACAGTGAAATTTCCCTCAACACACTGAGTGTGTCTTCGGATGCACCTGCCTATAGTCAGAAGATACCCACAGAAGCACAAGGGGCAGAGGGTATCTTCTGACTATAGGCAGGTGCATCTGAAGAGCATACAACCTGACAGTCAAGTAAGGCAAACCGGTCCCTGAGGTCTTCCCACAGCATTTTTTTTTTTACATTCCAACCCAACAGACACAGCTTTCCATGGCCCTCTACGGGAATGTTCATGGTATCTTCCCTAGTATGTTAGAGTATGACTCCTAGTAAAAGGTAATAATATTTAAGTATCAAAACACAACTCTTTCCCATCCCATTCTTCATCTGTTTTTGCAGAAACCAAACTGACAATGACCAAACAATTACCTTACCCAAGGGCACCTTAACTTCGTGTGTATATTTGTTTTTACGTAAATCTCTCATGGGTGAGCTTAATGAAATGATGGATGTTTCACCAAAAGTCAGAGAACATTTTAAGAGCTAACAATACAGATCTCTCAACTTTATATTTTTAGCTGAATGATTCCTTCTGGTTTATTCTCCCAGAGGAACAACCTACCTCTCTTTACATCTTTCTTTTCTTCTTTCCCACAGTAGGAAAAGTTATAGTAATCTGATCAAATCAGCTGAGATATTTTAGTCAGAAATTGAACACTTTGTTGAAAAGACCATTTTCCTATTTCTTGGACAAGTATATCTCCTTTTAAAAAAAAGTAAAAACTCCTAGCAGTTTCCTCTAATTTCTCTAAACTCACATTTAAAACAAACAAACAAGAACACAAAATAAACAAAGAAAGAACACCTGGGCAGAACTGGTAGAAAATGAAGTTCATTGTATTGTACCTCTCAGGTCTCCATTTCAAAATGACTATGTGCAGTCCAGAGGGGAATAGTACACTTGGTTATGCTTCTCAATAAAGGTGTAACACTGATCAAAATACTGCTCACTGGCTGTCAAGGTATCTTAGTGGATAAAGGTGAAACACACACACACACATGCAGGCACGCACGCACGCACACATACGCGCATGCATATGCACACGCACACAAACATAGCACATGTGCACAAACACACATACACAAATAAAATCTAAGTTTAAAACTGAAGGAATACTGTGGTGTTTCTCTTCAATATTCATCTGTACTTAAGCAATTCTTAGATCCTAATGTGTCGAGAATACAGTATTTTAAACTGCTAAATGATTAATGACTGCAAAAAAGCGTGGATGGGAAAACTTGAACTAGAATTAACCACTAAATCCAACAGAAATAAGGGTAAAATTGTGTATTTGAAATAATACTGAATTGTCTCTATTTCTAAGTCAATGTAGACTAGCTCCAGAAGGCAAAGATGCCACACCATGCTCCCAGCAGACTAAGGACACCACATGTCTGTTTCAAGGCAGCTGTTTGGAATGTCCTCACCTCTTCCGATTATCTGGTCCGCCTCTAGTGTCAAAGGCACATTTAAAGTCACCTTCTTACAGGCATCACCAACAAAACTGAAGACCTAGAAATTATAAAATACCACATTAATCCATCAGAGAATAAGAAACAAACTACATGGTTATCTCAGTAAATGTAGATCAACTGATAAGTTCTTCTTGACATTCTAGTGACATACGAGAACTTGCTTAACAAAGAAAGTTTATGGTAAACTGATGACTAAGTTCATATTTAAGTGAGAATGACTAAATGTTTTCCTCCATTATTGGAAATAAGACAATCATGACTGCTCCACTACTTGTATGTGATATTATATTAGAACTTCAAGCCAGGGAGCTTACACAAGAAAATAAGTTGATCCAAACATACAAAAGGATTGGGAGTAGCAACAAAACAAATAAATGAGTTCAAAAAGACTAAGAAATAAGATGAACGCACAAAAGTGGATTACGTGGGCCACCAAGACTGCTCAGTGAGTAAAAGTGCCTGCCAGCAAGGCTGACTGTCTGAGTTCAACACAGAACCCATGTGGTGGGAGGAAAGAACTAACACCCACCAACACTTCCTTTGATCTTTGCAAACACACCATGGTGCGTGCACACACACACACACACACACACACACACACACACACATCAAATGTATAAATACTGTAAATATTTTTTCCTGTAAACTGCTGTTAAAAAATCTTAAAACAGTTCCACTTAGATAAAATACTTTAGAATACATTTGTCAAAAGTACAAGATCAAGCCGTGAAAACAATAAAACATGATGAGAGAAGCTGTAAAAGATCCATATAAGTGGGAAGTGTACCTCTAATTATGGATCAGAGAAAATAGTCTACAGATACAATCTCCTTTGAATCTCAGATTTCTGTTTTTGAAGAAACTGGCCATCTATGCTGGTGTGGTGGCACACACCTTTAACCCCAGCACTCTGGAGGCAGACACAGGTAGATCTCTGACAGCATGGTCTACAGAGCAAGCTTCAGAATAGCCAAAGCTATGCAGAGAAACACTCTCTCAAACAAACAAAAGCAGACCAAAAAGAAGGAAGGAAATGAGGGAGGGAGGGAAGGAAGGAAAGAGGGAAGGAAGGAGGGAGAGAAGAAGGGAGGGAGGAGGGAGGAAAGAGGTTCTTAAGGAAATGCAAAAGACACGCTCACTCATGTACACACACCCAAGAAAAAGAATGATATTGAAGGACTGACATTACTCAGTTTTGATACAGATTAAAGCCACACTAACCAAAACTAAATGCTGTTAACATAGATAAATGTGCAGAAAATGGAATAGAGTTGGCATCCTAGAAATAAGCCTCATTGCTGGACAGACCCTGGAGAGTTCAAGGATCAGAAATCCCCTTACCAAATGGTTCTAGGATGACAAATGTGGAAACGAGCCCCTAAGCTATTCCATGCACAGAAACTAACAGAGTGGGCTGCAGACCAAAGGATAAAAATGAAAACTATTCAAAACAGTGGCTCTCAACCTTCCTAATGTGTGACCCTTTAATGCAGTTCCTCATATTGAGATGACCCCAACCATAAAATTATTTCATTGCTACTTCATAACCATAATTTTGCTTCTGTTATGATCATATTGTAAATATGTGATATGTAGGATATCTGATATATAGCCTCCAAAAGGGTCACACCCTATAGGTTGATAACTTTTGATTTACAAGACAATTTCACAGTTTTGGGCAATGATTTCTTAGCTGCAATATCACAACGGATGAACAGGACTTGTTTGATATTTAAAACCTTTGTGCCTTAAACAATGTGATAAAGGAAGTAAAAATGAAACTCACATAATGGGAGATAATTTCAAATGAAAGAACAATTAGTGAGATATCTGTAGTACATAAAGATATTTTGTAACTACAAAAAAGATGGTAAATGCTGAAAAAAAGATAAAGAATTTGAATAGAGAGTGTTCAAAGCTGAATCCATGATGGCTAAGAATATAAAAAGATGCCCAACAGCATGGGACACTAGGAAATGCAAATCTAAACCACCAGATTCCTGCTAGTGAGATAACATAAACAAGACAGAAAATGTCAAGTTGCTGTTAAAAATGCAGAGAAACTAGAACCTTCCTGTATTGTTCATGGAAATGGGAAGTAAGGTAGACTTATGGACTTAGTTGCAGTTTCTAAGAGAATTAAATGTCAGATAAAGATAGAATCCAGTGATTCTATGCTGTTTACATCTCTGTCCATTTCAGCTTCTACCTGTATAGTCACAACAGCACAGCTGATAAGGACTAAGAACTGCAAACACATCCACCAGCTAGTGAATAGATCAACACACTGTGATCTAATGTGCAATAGGATACTATATTTCTTTAAAAAATCAGACAATTGATTCATGTGTAAACCTCTCAACATCAAACCCATCAGACCCAGAACAATGAAGGCAGTGCATACATTGTATACATGTATATAATACATATACTGTCCCAATGGGCAGCTATGTAGAGACAGAAGACTGTAGTGTCAGTTGACTACAATGTGAAAAACAAAAGTAGCAACTAGAAATGGGCCCAAGGCTTCTTGGGAAAGCTGTGGAGATACTCCAAGGTTAGCCTGTGGTGATTTTTGTGCACTCTAAATTTGCTGAAAGTCACTGAATTTTACTGAAAGTCGCATGATTCTTTACACATCATCTCTACCTCTTTCAGATCTATAACATAATATATGAAATCTCAGGAAAACACTGTAATAACCGTGAGGAAGGATTTCAGCACTGAAATAATCAAGTACACCAGGATTAAAACGGTTAATTCATGCTAGCTCAACAGTGTATGTAGACATAAAAGATCAGGAACACTACTCTAATATGGACATATCCTAACATTAACTGAAATTTACAATATAATCTTATTCCTCTATATTTATGTTTATCTTTATTGTTTTCATTTCTCCATCATCCTACACTCAGTTTGCTTTATTGTTTTAATTACAGGGCTTCTTGCTTGCAAGATTCCTATTTTTTACAATTTGTGGAATTTTCTGATAAGCACGGTTACATATTTAAAGTAAATAATTTTGCTATTTCTTTTGCAATTTTAATCAACTGTATTAATAATCCCTTATAGTTTGGGTTTAATATGACTTAATAACTCCAAACATAAGCGTATACCCAGTATTTTCTTCTACAACTGTAAAACCATTTCTAACTTTAAATCTTTTGCCCATGTGATATATGTCTTTACTTTCTGCTGCAGAGATCACCAGTGACAGCACCCTCACAGTGACTCTGCCAGTCTTAGCTCATGGTGTGACATCCACAACACACCTGATATGACTGCCCCATAAGCACTCCTCTGGGCTTTCCCCGAGGTTCTATCTTTACATCTATCTCTCCATCAACACTCTATTGTTTTACTCAGTGCAGCTTTATGTCAAATCTCTATGATGGTGGCCCCAGGACCTATATCACTTCTCTTTAAAGAAAGCTCTTTTAGCCCCCAAGTCTCTCAAAGAAACTTCATAATCAGCAGCCAGCCCAAGTTACATCAACTTTCAGTGGAGCTTCACTTAGGTTTTAAAAAGAATTTGACATGGTAGGGCCCTTAACATGGTGAACACATTCTCTCATTTGTTTGTAATTTATATTGTGCCATTTGAAGAGACATTCTGAGTTTGCTATGAAGTTCTTTCAGGATCTGTTAGGCTGTTTTTACTTGTTTGGTTTTGCTGTGAGATGAGTTTCACGTAGCCCCAAGTTGGCCTTCAATACACTTTGTAGTTGAGTACAGTTCTCCCCGTCTACCTCCAGAGTCCTGGGATTGTAGGTATGTACCACCACACCCAGCTTGGTAGGCTATTTTTAAATATATCAATGACAACCCTACCATGAATAGGATTCTTCTTTTATTTATATGATCTGTCTGTTGACAGTCTATAGGAATAATTCTTTAGTTATTTAAATTGGCCTTACATGGAAGGAACTTGGTTACCTGATCTGCCTTCCACAAAGGTGGTCCTGCCTCTTGAACCATGTCCAGCACAATTATTTCTTTTCATTCTCCCTACATTTCTCCCATAATTCCCCATATACGTGTGTGTGTGTGTGTGTGTGTTTATGTGAACTTCCAGTAGAACACACAAAAGAAACAGCTACAATGAGCAAAATGTCTGTTTCTAAGCTTGAAGAGGATGTTTACCTTTCCACCATTGTTTGTGTTTCTTTTTACTTTTTTCACTACATTCAATCATTCATTCTTTTTAATTTTTAAAAAATGTTAATTATATGATTGTGTGTAAGAGACGTCTCTGTGTGTGTGTGTGTGTGTGTGTGTGTGTGTGTGTGTGTCCACATAAGTGAAAATTTCCATGGAGGCCAGAATATGTCATCAGATCCTTTGGAGTGAGAGTTAAAGGCAGTTGTGAGCTGGCTTAAGTGGGTGCTGGAAGCCAAATTTGGATCCTCAGCAAGAGAAGTACACATTCTTAATTGCTGAGCTATCTCTCCAGTCCCAACTCATGTTTGTTAGGTATATTTTATTCAGTTAAGAAAGCCCATTCCCATATAACTAATTAGCTAAGAATTTCTTTAAATAATAGATCTAAATTGGCTTCTTATTTTGAATTGACCACAGTTTTGCTTTATTAGCATATCATAAGCATGTTAAAACACAAATAATAGAGTTCTCCCTTTGCTGGGGCAATCCTTCTTAGGACATAACTTTTAGATATACCATGGGTTTTCGCTGGCTGCTATGTGTTTCATCATTTCCATCTCCCATGCACGACGTCCAGGGCGACATGAAACCACTTTCTAACCACACAGTCCTTAGAAAGTGAGCTAAGAAGAGTCCACTCAACTGCTGTTCTCAGAACTCCGTTCTATGTCCATTTTGTATAACTAAGTTATTCACTTCTTACTGGTCTACCGAATGTGAAGGAGAGCAGAACATCTGGGCTTGCCCCAAGACAAGCAGTCTGAGCTCAGTCTCCAAACACACATGGTGGAAGGGAAGTGCTAAATCCTCCATTTTGTTCTCTGTCCTCCACACACAAGACTGGTTTCTACCCCTGGAACTCCTATGGTAGAAGAAGAGAACCAACTCCCACAAATTGTCCTTTGACCACCACACATGTACCATTGCCTCCCCCCCCCCAAAGTATACGAATAAATACATTTAAAAACACAGCATAAAAAATAATTTTGTTTCTTAAAAATTTAATGAATTGACAACTTGAATTTAAAGAAACACTTTAAAAGGAGACCTCTCAAGAGTAACTTCAAATATCTGTCTTGAAAAGCAAATGCTAAAATAGCCTTAAAATGTAACAAATTTTGTTCTGCTTTATAGTATTCTATAAATTTTTCTAGTGATATGATTGCAAAATTATGAGAAATATCATTAAATTCTGATGCAAAGATCCAGTGCCCAATGAAGAGTGAAAGAATAAAGCAGCCACCTGCAATTGTTTCATCTTTAGAGTTCGTTTTTATGACTTCAACACAGAAAAGAGGCTTGCTTAGCGCACTGTTCTCCACCAAAGCAAATGGAGCTACAGAACAGGGTTGGGTGTGGCTCGGCCACATGTGCCCAGCATGAGCACAGTCCTGGGTTCAGTAGCCAGAGATACAGAAGAAAGGCACTTGTTGCCGTGGATGCCCCACCTGAGGTACAAAGGATACCCTGACTGAGCTGCAGTTGACACTAGAATCTAAACCCTTCCTTTCTTCTGTGGACACTTACTTTCTACAACATGGAAACACTAGCGTTCAAATTCTCACCACCTCCAGCGTAAGTGCTGAGATCTGCCACTCTGCAGCCACAATAGCTTGATGGACCTAATAAATTTCCTCCTAACCCAAGTCAGCATAGGATGGGTATTCTGGCTCAGTGGGAAGTGTGACTAACCACAGGTCTCCAGAGATGCCTTATATGGAAGACACCAAGCACAGGGATTGCAACAGGGTCAAAAAATGTATACCTCTTTACATTTATTCCATAGTCAAAAGTTGCTTCAAGGCCTACTCATCTAAATATGACTATCACAGACCTTGTTTACAAAGTAGCCTGTTACCAAGTGTAAGATCTAAGGTTCACTGAGAGTTGGGGGAGATATTGCATCAGTCTAAACATACATTAAAACTGATTTTCTTCTTTTCTTTTCCTTTCTTTCTTTTTTAATTGGGGTGCAGGATCTTACGATGAAGCCTCACAGTCCTAAAGCTTGCTATGTAGACCAGCCTAGGTAGGCTATCAAGTTTCTTTTGCTTTATACGGGGTCCTGTAATTAAAGGCACAGGCTACCGTGCTTGGCTTGCACTCTGACTTTCTTAAAAAGAGGCTTTAAAATAAAGCTTCTCCCCTTTAATTAGTTTATTTGCCATAATCTTTTTCACTAATAAAAGCCAATGCAAATTTCTGTATTTGACATGTTTTAAATATGTCAGATGTTCTCAAGAGCAAAAGGGGGTTCCCCATTAATTAATAACAGACGACCTGACAAGATGGGAAGGCACGTTTGTCAACATCAGTTTCAGGTACTGTGTATACACTCCAGGGAGGGAAAGCAGGGTCTTGAAAGAGGAGCGCTTTAGGAAAACAATAGAAAACAGCTGATCTGGTGTTAGTTTCATCACTCCCGATGATTTGCTGTCACATTAAACGGGGGAAACGCTAAAAGTATTGCTCAAGAGCTTCCGTTAACAGTGAGATGGTTGTTTTCCTCTCATTTTGTTCCCCAAGTTTGTCTCCTCTCCTCAGCTGTACTCTATGGCCATTCAGAATGATGCTGTGAAAGAGAGGCAGAAACTCACTCGCCATTGGAAAGATTCCTGTGCAGAAACTCACTCGCCATTGGAAAGATTCCTGTGCAGAAACTCACTCGCCATTGGAAAGATTCCTGTGCAGAAACTCACTCGCCATTGGAAAGATTCCTGTGCAGAAACTCGCTTGCCATTGGAAAGATTCCTGTGCAGAAACTTGCCCGCCATTGGAAAGATTCCTGTGCCTGGCTGGAGAGCTGTGGTGTTGACCATGTTAGGAGTCTTTGACGTGAGCTAAAGGTTTACTTTGAAAAGCCCTCCCCCAAAAGGTAACTATTTTTAGAGTTCCATGATTAATCTCCAGTTAATTAAAGGTGTTTCTAAAATCCCTTGATTATTGTTATGCTCAAAAGCTGCTGGGGCCGGGGGGGGGGACACTCAAAACACTTAATCATGAAATTCTACATATTTGTGTAGTGCGGTCTACTGATGAGACAAACGCCCAATCTGTATACACGCACCAACCCCAGAGTCCGCTGTTTACCTTAAACTCCATGCAATTCCTTTGTAAATAACCCTGAATGAGCATGTGGTAGAGGAGAATTGACATACCTCCTTATAGCTGCTAGAACCTTCCAAGGCCTTGACCCACAGTTCCTTGTCTTAAAGAACCTTGTCGCATGTGCCCTCCTCTCCAGCTAATACCCTTAATCCTCAGAACAAAACACTGAAGTCTCTTCTCCTTGTTCTCTAATTCCTCTCTCAGTGAAAATGTAAAGCACCAAAGTCGTGTTTTTAAACTAAAATGTTGGAAATTCGTCCGAATACATTTCTCCTGAGGGCACAGCGCTCACGGGGATCTCATGTACAGTCTCTTCCAAGCCACATCTTGCCCTCAGCCTTTCAGTCCTGTGAGCCCACTCCTGTTTTCATCCCGCGGAACTCCAATACTTCAGTACTCCAGTACTTCAGCAGCCTTCCCACACCTGGGTATCTCTGGCACAGAGCTCAGTGCACAAGCAGGCATAGGGAGGACGCTCGGGCGAGCCTTTGGAGTAATCTTATGCAGGAGGAATGGTTAAGAACACGGTTTCTCAGAGGAAACCCCAGGATAATATCCAGGAACACAACTTTTGCTCCACGTTAACGTGGGATTCAATAAAAATCTGGGGCAAGGAAGTTCCTGGACTCCCACCACATCTGCCTTTTGCTGGGTCAAGGTTCCTAAATAACAGTCGTCCCCCCAACTGTCCTCCTCCCTTTCCACCCAAGCCTAGTCCCAGTCACCATCCCAATTTAGGAGCTGCCAGCAAGGAGTAAATAGCATCCGCTGCCCACCCAGGACGATAACACCAGCTCAGAGAGGCCAGAAGAGGACTCCTAATTCAGACATCACCTAAAGCCCAGAACAAATCGCTGAGTCTTGAGGGTTCCCACGATAACTTTTTGCCTGTCCCTTCCAAACCAAACTTGAACCAGACAAGAAATGATTGGAGACACTCAGCCCATCACTTGTCGCCTGTTGTGCCCCCGCGGTGACCAGGCGGATCAGTCCTTTTCCCTTCCCCATGTGGGTCCCCATCCATGGGTAACTCACCCAGAGGGTCAGCAGCAGTTGCGTGCAGAGGGCTCTGTCCCGGGGCCTCCATAGCCCAGAGATCGCCATGGCAAGATGGCCAGGACACAGACTGGCGCCTAGCAGAGACTCTGAGAGCCAGGGCTCTGGAGGTTTTTCGCAGCAGCTTGTCTAAAAGTCGTTCTGGCCTCTTTCAAGCTTCTTTTGCCCAGGAGCGTGTTCTCGTCTGAAACTGGATTGGACCAGGGAGACACTATGTGGCCCCTCCTAGTTATTTCTCAAGTTTTATCACCTCCGGGCCTCCTTGGAGCTGCCTGAGCCTGCCCTGAGCTCCCTGAGGCCTCCAGGGAGCTCACTCCCCGGGAAAGCGGGCCCCAGGTCCACCCTCTGCCCGCTCTCCTCTCTCCCACACCTCTCATCTGCCCCCGGGGGATGGGAGGAGGGTTGCTGCCCAACCTTCCCCGCATCCCCTTCGCTGACACTGGGCTGAGCATCCCCACTCCAAACCTGGCCCCTCCTACTCTGACTCTACTCTGGGTGCCAGGAACACACATACCTGATTCGGATCATGGGATCCTCCCATCCAGTCCGCTGTGTGCGAAATCTGGGCAACCTCTTCACACGTTGAAACAAAACCCGGGCATTCTCTCCAAACTTCATTAACATGATAAAATAAACCACCGAAGGAAAATTGTCCCATTTGCCACGGATTATCTGTGCCAGACATTGAAACCAGAGAAAAGAAGTGCTTACCTGACCATTTATCCACACCCAAAATGAGAGTTACTGCCTTTGTGCTTTAATTACTGGCAATATCTGTGGTCTTCTATGGGCCCTCTAAGAAAAGAAAGAAAATGGGGTGTGGGGGAATGAAAGAAAAAAACGTGTTCTTGGATGTTCACTTATCAAATGGGGTTTTCAGTTTTGGGGTTTTTTTTATTTTGTTGTTTGTATTTCGTTCTTTTTTTAATGTGATTGTACTAAGATAATAATTTTCGAATCTGGTCACAGGAAACTCTCCTAAACAAAATGTGCTTTAAAATGGGGTTTTCAGTTTCACTATAACTCAACAAACATTTATAGGGATCCAAATCCATCCACATTACCCAAAGGGCTGGAGACAGGATCCACACAGACCCAGTTTCTGTCCAAGGTAACTCAAAGTTTAGGTGGGAAGACACTTGGCCACTGTCTTGTTCCAATAGGGACCATACCCTAGGAACTCTACTGGTGGAATTCAGGAAGAAATCCAGTCATTCAGAATCCTTGGTCAGAACCCTGGGTCAGTCCACTGTGGAGAGCAGGTGAGGGTGTTCATTCACTCCACCCTGGTCACTTCTGAGAATATCCAAAGTATGGGACTTCCCCCAGCTCTCAAGGCATCAGACATCACCAGATTTAGCTCCCCAGTCTCATTCTTGACACGTGTAAGCCACCATCAGCTGAAGTCTGCCTCAGACACAGAACTCCAAACTTCTCCCCTCTGGAGATTTCCAGTTCCTCTTTTCTCATCAGTCCTCCGTTGCCCACCTCCTCAGGGAAAGCTGTGCTGTCTTCCCCAGTCTCAGTCAGTGTGTGGGATGCAGAGCAGAGCTGGTTTTACTGCAGTTGCAGTACAGGGAAGAAGGGACAGGGCAGCACAGAGAGGTCTCTCTGTCCCAGTCAGTATTCTTCCTCCAGGTGAAGGGCTGAAGGGCCAGGATGCTTCGGTGCAGGCTCTTAGTTCTGTGAAGGGCAAAGAGGCTTGAGATAAGAACAGAAAGGCGGAGGTTTAGGAGTGCTCTAGTCAGGCAACAGCAGCAGGCCCAGGGCCTGAGACGCGCTGGAGAGACTTGGGGCAGCTTCATACATGACTGAGACAGAAAAGGCTGTTGGTTCAGATGAGACACATAGAGGGACACCCGTGGCTGGCAGTAAGACTAGCATGACTAGCATGACTGGTTCATGACAAGCCATACTGGGGAGCAAGAACTTGTCCTGAAAGAAATGGTAATTCATTCGCTGCCAGGTCCATTATCCATGAAACTATTCCTTTATAAGATTTTTCCCTAATCATTATGGGATATGTATGTCTCTATACATAGACATACATATGAAGACATTTTTGATGCATTCGATTCTATTCTAAATGTTCCTAAATTATTAAGGACCTCAACTAATTCTTTGGGTTAACTAGAGTCTAACTGGATATGGCTGTTTTCTAAGTGACTAAAACTTCAGCAAGACTATCTCTTTGGTTGTTTGGACTGTGCTGTCTGATAGGGAGGACTAATAAGACAGTTGATTTGAGTTTCCTCCTACAAAATAAAAGTGGCTTAGATCTATTCCGTAAACACTAAGAAAACACATAAGTGATATTTTCAACTTGCATTATTAAATTTTGGGTGCAGTATATTGGGCATATGAAGATGACAGAATGTAGCATTAATAGATGACTTGGCATTCCCTGTTCTGTGCACACATTAGTCTAATTCCTTCTATAAGGCGATATGAATTTGTAATTTAAGAAAACATCCTTCCATCAGTTATGGCAACATAGAACACCCTGGAGACAGATTCAGTTGCATATATTTTTACATGAAGTATGTTTTAAAACAGATTTGGAAAGTTTATTTGAAATATAAGGTTTGGCTTGAATGTAGTTTTTTTTGTTTGTTTTTTGTTTTTTTGTTTTGTTTTTTTTTTTTTTTTTTTGGTTTTACGAGACAGGGTTTCTCTGTATTGTTTTGGAGGCTGTAGGTCCAGCCCAGCCTCGAACTCACAGAGATCCACCTGCCTCTGCCTCCCGAGTGCTGGGATTAAAGGCATGTGCCACCACCGCCCGGCCTTGAATGTAGTAGACATGTCTCTTTTAGTATTCTGACCTTCAAAACAGAAAGTCACTTGGAAATCACTGCTAAAACAATGATGGGTAGAAAAATAAGTTATTATCCCCCATTCTGGTATTAGTTTTAAAGATAAGAAAAACATCAAAGGGGAGTAATAATTGGAGGAGGTCTGAGATGAACACTCAAAGCTGTAGCAATCCAGGTGAGCTAGAATGGGGTCAACAGAAAGCAAACCTGAAACCATCAGAGTTCCTGAACTGGGTACAATGCTCACACCTGTATTCACAGCACTCAGATAGTAGGGACAGTGGTGCTGTGACTTTGAAGCTACCGTGGGCTGTGCAGTGAGCTCCCACCCCAAACAGGCTATTTAGGAAAAGCTTATCATCTTAAGCCAAAAGCCGAAATGAAGAGGGGTGGGGGAGAAGGACAGGGGCAGGGTAATGTGCCTGAACCTGGGAGCAGTCTCCAGGAATGGCCAGGCATAACTAATCTTAGGAGGTAAAGGCTGACCCCTGATCCACTGGTCCAGGCATAACTAATCATCTTAGGAGGTAAAGGCTGACCCCTGATCCACTGGTCCAGGCATAACTAATCATCTTAGGAGGTAAAGGCTGACCCCTGATCCACTGGTCCAGGCAATATTGTGCAACTTAGCACCAACCAGTCCAGCACACCCACCCACTCGCCTGTGTGTCTGTGGCTGGGATGAAGCCAGTGTGGTTCAGCTCAAACACTTCTGTAATGTTGAGCCAGGGCAACATGATCCCTGAAACAAACCTGCCAACCAGAAACTGAAGAGCTTTGGCGGAGAACAAGGAGAAGATGGGTTTGAATAATCCTACGTAACCTTGGGGGTTGTCTCCAAGAGGCTGCTAGAAGCTGGTTCCAAATGTATCCTCATTGAAGACCTTGTATCCTATGTGGGAGCTGTCTGACTGTCTTCCTAAATTCCCAGACACACTCCCCAGCTTCTATTCTGCCCCCATAGAAATGTTCCAGGCAGCCAGGGGAACCTCAGTTCTAGACCAAAAATGACAGTAGCTCCCAAGAAAAGAGGTGCCTCTCCTTCATTCTGCTCTACAATGGATCCCAAATCTCACTTCTCGTCCTAGGATTCATTTCTTCCCAGAATGAACGACAATAGGATTGTCAGAGTATTGGCCTTCCGCTATAGCATCAGCAACAATCACACAAAAGTCGGTCATTTATTCATCACCCAGATTCACTGTCATGCAGTCTTAGGGATGACAACAGTAATCCCAATTCATACAGGGTGTGCCAAGCTTGAGAGTCTGTCATTCTCCTTTTATTATTAATACATGACTCAAGAACTGTTACAAGGGATTTTCCTCCTTCCACTGAAGTCTGGAGGCTCCTCACAAGTAGCCTTTTCAGCAAAGAGCCCTTTTAAGGAGGCAGGGCAATGGCCCCAGTGACTTCCCACTGGTCTGGTAGGAAAGATAATTTCCACCCAGAAAACAAAAGTCCATTGTGTCAATGATGATGACTTGCAGTCATGAACAAAAGCTCATATTCAGAGGAATTGACTGTGATTCGTGTGTGTGTGTGTGTGTGTGTGTGTGTGTGAGTGTGTGTGTAAATGTATATACAGTACTGCAGTGCATGGTGAAGTCCAGAAGTAGATAATATTGGATGTCCCACTCTATCACACCCTCTTCTTTATTCCCTAGAGAAAGGATCTCTCTCTGAACCTGGATTTAAGCTAGTAGCCAGTAAGGCAAATAAACACAGACACCCACCACCCACCTCCCCATTAACACACAGAGAGAAGGGGGAGGGAGAAGGAAAGGGAGGTAGGGAGAGAGAGGCAGAGAGAGAGAGAGAAGAGAGAGAGAGAGAGAGAGAGAGAGAGAGAGAGAGAGAGAGAGAGAGAGAGAGAGAGAGAGAAAGAGAGGAATGGGGGTTAGAGGTGCATGTGACCACATCACATGAATTCTGGAGACTTGAATTTAAATCCTCACATTTGCACAGCAAGCATTTTTACCAGTTAAGCCATCTTCCCAGCTCTCAGAAGGAATTTAAAATCCCATTTGAAAAGTCCTGTAAGTCTTCAACCATATTTCCCTCACAGGGAAGAATCTTTTCCTACTGGCTGAGACTCCAGCTTGTCCTGAACCTTTCCATGCTTCTAGAGCTCACTGTGAGCTTCTGTCTGCACACAGGGCATTGCCCAAGCATGAAAGGCAAGCTATGAGTGGGCTGACTTCCAGATCTCATGTGTCATTATCCTGGCGTCACGCTTGAATCACTACCCCATCATCCTTCTCTTTTCCCAGAAGTTGAAGGCCATTCCTCAGCATCTGCCTAGGGAAGCTGCACAGTCCCAGCAGAGGCCTTCAGTTAGGTCAGACTTACAAAAGGAGCTTCCTACCAGTATCCTACGGGAACTACACAGTTTTATTAAACATTCATCCTTCCATTCTTCACTTCACTAACAATTGTGCCTGTTTTATTTATCCCTCCCTGATTTCCAAA